GGGACATATACCCATGTATCCCCGGTTTTCCCCCGAGGCGTCGGCGCTTTTGCGTTCGGTTAGGGTTAGGGTTAGGATTAGGGTTAGGGTTAGGTTTAGATTGATCAAGTCAAACGTAACCCTACAAGACCAAGGCTACGAGTAGATTTGCGAGACTATGTTCCCTGTTGTGTAGTGCTTGAAGCGGCAAAGGCAAGTTTGCAAGGCAGGTGGTTGTGTTGGATGGTTAGCTGAGCTGCTTCGCTCATTTCGAGCTATGGCCGAATGTACTGTACTTTTGTAGGAATGGGGCGCTACCGTTCGCGTGTTCCTGTAGCACGGCTGAGCGTGGGCCGGCTTCCGACGAGCAGATAGATGCGGGAATGTCGCGGACAGGATTTATTGCTGCCTCTACCGGGTTGTTACATTTGGGGTCCCACTCCATAGGACGTTAGCAAAGTACACGATATTTACCGCGCCACCGTATCCAGTCGTGTTCACATATAGAGGGTCACAAGCGCTGTTTCCGTCAAAAGTGTTGTCGTAAGTATCAACCTGGAGCCTTGATCTGCGGTGGCTGAGTTGTGAAAAAATATGCTAGTCGTTCGCTCGCCACAGGAAAGTCAGAGCTCGTGGTCACAGAAGCTGCTCCCCCGTATGACCCAGCTAGGTTCTCGTCGAAGTCGCTCTTGGTCGTCCCGCTCCACGAAACGTTCGAGCGGTCTTCGACATACATGGCGCCCCAAGCATTCCCGGCTTCATTCCCCAGATACGTGGTGACACCGCTCGAGGAAGTCTTCGAACTGTAAGATAAAGCGAGAGCACCACCGCTGTCCGCAGCGGAATTGCGAACAAACGTCGTGACCTCGCTCCCACCAACCCGGCGGTGTTGGAATTGAATCCCGTTGCAGCATTCCAGGACACGCTCGATTCGTTGTTGACGCTCAACGCGCCTCCTGCTCTTGCGGCAGTACTGTAGGCGAAGAGAGGCTCCTCGTCCCATGAAATGGTGGACCCTCCAAGAACCCTTATGGTGCCCCCGATATCACCAGCCACGTTGTTGAGCCATGAAGCGCCGCACGAAATCGTCGATCCCCCACTGGCGTACACTGCGCCACCATCAATACTGGCCGAATTGTCGGCAAAGGTACCAGCCCCGACACACGACGCGTTCGAGCCATCGGACACAAACACGACTCCCCCGAGGGCTGTGGCACCATGTCTAACAAAGTTCGCCCGATCAAACGTCTGGGTGGATCCCGCGGCAGCTATGGCCTCACCCGCAACGCTGGCACCCAAGCTGATATTTACCCCGCTCACGTGCAGCGCAGCGTTCACAACAGTAAAGAGTCGTGTCCCCGCGTTTCCATTGATGACGGCGTTCGAGTCAGCTCCCGCTACCGTGAGAACAGTGCCATCGACGACGAAGACTGAATCATTGACTACCATGCTCTCCTTCCACTCTACCTCGAACAGCCCGCCAGTATCCGCATGAATATTTCTTGTTCACACCGTCGCAGAAACCGTCACTCTGCCAGTCCTCAACACAAGACTCCTCCTCCGAGGCTGCTGAGTTGTCACCACACTAGTAGTGCGCAGTATCGGCGCAGGTACAGGAACAGCAGTCTCCGCCGTCGAAGCCGCAGGGTGGGCTGTTGTTCTCCGCGTCGCAGCGGCCATTTCCGATGTCGTCGATCGTGCCGTTGGCGCAGCTGTCATACTGGGCAGCAGCGCCAAGCCACAAGCAGAGGAAGGCTACTGCCACGCGACCGGCGCCACTGCTTCGTCGAATCATGATTCCCCTCGCTCGGCGACTCTGCTACAGCGCCGTCGTCGAACACGCGTCTGGACTGGGTGGGCAAGGGAACACGCGACGGTATGGTTGGAGCACAAAGCAGGTATGTGTCCTGTTTCGGTCGCTGCCGTCACGTCATCAACCGTCGTCCTGATGTCTATCGACGTTCTGTTCTTACTTGCGATTCAAGATGAAGAATCGATCTCTGTGACCACAAGAAAACTAATGAAAATCCGGTATACGTCAAATGGGGACGGACAGAGCCGGACCAGAGTAGGTCCCACCAAGGGTCGCATAGGTCACTCAGGAAGAAAAAGCTTGATGTAACAGAAAAAATGGGAGAAAGGCAAGAAAAACACTGTTGCCGAACAAAACAAGTACGACTTCAACGCCTGCTGGTGTCGTACCCTAGCCGAAGAGGATCTAGAAGTATTAGCATTGTCGCGAATTTGCAAAAACGCGACCTATTCCCAGCAACTCGACGACGGCACACATGCCAGGTCGTTTCGTGTTATTCCGACTCGGGGCTCATTTCATGGTCCTGGTAGAACAGTTTGGGTACAGAGATAGCCAAATACGCAGAGAACTACGGTATTTGTGCTTAGGAAGTAAAGGATAAAAGTACTACGGATTTTTCCGCCGTCCCCCTTTGTGAAAAGCAGCGCTGTTGAGGGAGGTTTGCACACTGGCAACACTGCGAGCCTAGCGCGTGCCCGCCCCGCTGCGCATATCGGCTGTGCCTCTCTAAACAATCGCTGCTGATCATTGAGAAAGCATCTTTTATTGAGAAAATATATTATTGGTCGACAATTGCAAAATGACCGATATGTGTTATTTCTTTGAAGAAACAACGAACAGGCCGCGCCATGTTGGTCGGGGAAGAACTGCACGCCGCCGCGCGTAGGCAAAGTGGGTGGAATGCCGGAGTTCAAACGCTTAGATTTGGCCCTGTCCAAGTTTGCCCCGTCGCCAGTAACGATGTTGTTCCCAATCAAGGTGGTGGCAGTTCATCTTTGCATACTCGGACGTAGCCTCGATACGCGAAAGCTTTTCCAACTTGGAACGTGTCAATGACACCTCTGTCTTCCCTCTTGCGCGCTTTTCAAATTGCCACATAACCGGCAGTCGTGCTTTTGGTGCTGCTGTCCTCTGTTGTCGCAGTGCTCAAAGCTGGAGTCTTTATTTGTGGTGTTATTGATCGGGGAGGAATATCGGTGAGCTATTCTGTGCGTGTGGAGTATGCTGTTGGGGCATCCCACCCTTTCTACAGTTTTCTCAACGACCCATGGGCGCCCATGGGCACCCTATTAGACCCATGGGCATGCCCACGGGCAGGCCATATGGGCTGCCCATGGGCTTGCTCGTGGGTAGCCCGTGGGCAGCCCATGGGCGGCCAATGAGAGCCCTTCAACCGAACCTGTACACTCCTAAACAATTGATTGTCTGCTTTAGAACGGGCACTATTGCGGCTAACAACCCTAGCGATCACCCTAACCCTTACCCCGAGCCCTCACGATACGTGCGAGGTTGACGCTGGTGGCTAAGTTGTAGGTTCATGTGCAGGTGGCTAAGTTCTAGGTCGATACGCCGGTGGTGAAGTTCTAGGTTGAAGTGCCCATGAAGTGCCCATGAAGTGCCCATTGGGGGCCCATGGGTGACCCACGAGTATCCCATGGGCGGTTTAGCAAACTGCCAGTAGTGTAGGAGATTGTGCTATTGGGGGTCCAAGTGCGGGACCCCTTGAGAGAGAGCACGCACATGTGTTCACTATTCTCTTATGTCTTGCTTGCTATGACTATGCTCAAAGGAGCACGGATGTGTGATACTCAAGATTCATGTCATCTGTATCGGTCCTGGATTAACTTAGTTCCCGGATCTATTAATACTGCCGTGGGTGGGCACGGTAGCCTCCACCATAAACAGTTAACAATTCTTCGCCATTGACCACAGATACTGGTAGGGGAAAGAGGTTCTACAAGATGGATTTGGTTATCCCCCCAGGATTACATGCAGGGATTAAAAAGAGGAGCTCTGCACCAAGTCCATTCCTGTAGACGTCACCATCGTCAACCCATTTACGAGTCAAAGCATCGACAAGTCCATCCAAACACCAAGAACCGCTCTCGAAGATCGAGCTGCAAGTAAGGCAAAGCCACTATGGGGGAACTTTCAACCCGTCTAGATCGACCCTTCTTACTGCTGCCATTTCAACGAATGGTGGTCTTGGCCAAGGCACCAATCGAGTAATCGTAGCTATCGCCACCCACTGGCTTACGAAGCATTTTGCAGGGGGAATTTCGACAGTGAAACAGCCTTGCTTCGCCTGAACGCTGATCATGCAAACAGAATCCGGAGAAAGTTTACCTTCGAGCTGGCTCGTTTACCGTCGGTACGAACTCGTGATGTTTCAAAACGTCATAGACTTGATCAATTTGCACCACGGCTAATAGCTTGGGATTTCAGTAGTGTAGCTCTGGCGACAGCGATAACGACGGTATTGAGGGTGATTCTGTTGAGAGAGACGGAGATGAAGGAAAGGAAAGGGAAAGAAAGGAGAATGAAGGCGATGATGGAGGAGGAAAACATGGCAAACAAGAGAGAAATGGTGTGAGCGAGATGCCCTTCCTCACAATAAACGCCGCACTGGAGAGGATCTGCCAAAAAATAACGGGAATACTACTGGCAACGAGGGTGGTGGAGAACATGCAGGGAAAACAATGAAAGCAATCCAAAGCACACGCGCATTCAAAGTACAGCACTACAGTGGTAGCAGACATGTGTAGCAAACACGTGCAGTTTTCTGTTGTGTGCTCGTACTGTATCTAGAGTAGTGTAGACTCCCTCATGACGCTCGCTCACAGGACCCCAGGTCTAACCCAAACCCCAAAGCACGGATTGCACACTCTATCCCATATGTTTGCTTCATCAATTTTGCTGCGTAGACTGGGTCGTGCCTATCATATATTTTGTGTTACCCCGCACGGAGACGCAGTTTTTTTCATTGTCAGTCGGTTATGTGGCGCGGTCGATGCTACATACTGATGATGAACAATATACACACTCAGAGAGGGAAGAGAGAGAGAGAGAGAGAGAGAGAGAGAGAGAGAGAGAGAGAGAGAGAGAGNAGAGACCAGCTCCGACTTGGGCACCATGTGTTCGTGATATTTGCTGCTGTGTGTGTCGACAGAGAGACGTAGAACAACTTGATTGGACAGTGTGCATTGCGGAACTAACTGTCTGCGTTGAAGATCGTTGAATAGCCACATATTATCAGAACAGCAAGGAACGCTCTGTGGGAATGTTCTTCGTGGATGGTGCATTACCCGGAGTGTGTTTCTTGTGCATAGTGCATCAGTCAGAGGACATGGTACGTTGTGATATACGTTAGCCCCTGTCTGTTGAGTCTTTTGTGTGCTCCCCACCCTTGCTCACTTCACCTTTTTGACCTGTTCTCCTGGTCCAAGGTCTCAACAATAAAACATCTTTTCCCCAGAAGCCGCGAGTTTACCAACACCGTTAAGAAAGCGGTCTACCCACTAGACTACTTAGTCGCGTGACTCAGTAGTTTAGTGGGTAGACCGCTTTCTTAACCAAATATATGCTTTGTGGGTTCACCGGCAGGGATCTCCGAGGTGTTACACCTCGCCGCGCACTCCTGAAGTCCTACGCCTGATAAGTTTCTTTTACAAGAAACGCCGGCGACTGTGTTGTTGAATGGGTGGATCTCTTTCTCTACAGCTTATTGTCGTGGGTTCGAATCCCGGCTGGAGCGTTTCTTTTGAGACAAGTCTTCAATGCAGTTGGCGCCCGCAGTTAAGAAATACTTCCTCTGTATCATAAGTTAGGGTACCTAAATGCAATAGATTATCTGGGTGCAACCGTGTTAGTGATGGTAGCATAGTCGGGTTTGTAAGAAAGATATAACAAAGAAGAAGCGATGGAAAAAAATAAAAAAAACGAATATCTATTTCTGTATCTACTATTGGTCAAAATGTACCCTATTTTGGCCTGTTTTGGGAATATTTTTGAGAAAATATTTTGGGATATTTTTTGAGAATTCTCGACAAAATTCTCAAATCCATTTTACTACCCTACTCTTGCGAT